TTTTTTTTTTTTTCCAAGTGAGTAGTTGGCTAACAAGAGCACCGGCTCAGAGGTCTACTCAATCTTCAAATAAAGATAGACATACAGCAATTATTGCTTCATGTAATTACCAATTTCGAGATTCAGAGGCATTGATTAGTCAATTAATTGATTATTGATTAATGGTCTCACGAAGCGGCGGCCCGGTGGACCAGTGGGTCGACCTCACAGTGCAGAGGTTGTGGGTTCGATCCCGGCCCTGGCCTTCCTGTGTGGAGTTTGCATGTTCACCGCTGGCCTGCGTGGGTTTTCTTCGGGGACTCTGGTTTCCTCCCACATTCGAAACACATTCATGGCAGGCTGATGGAATACTCTAAATTGTCCCTAGGTGTGAGTGTGAGGGCGGATGGTTGTTCGTCTCTGTGTGCCCTGCGATTGGCTGGCAACCGGTTCAAGGTTTCCCCCACCTACTACCCGAAGACGGCTGGAATAGGCTCAGCAACCCCCCGCGACCCTTGTGAGGATAAAGCGGATCGGAAAATGGATGGGTGGATGGTCTCACCAAGCAAAAAGCAAAAATGGAATGCGCTACTTGGCTGCAACAGGCAACCAATGCAATCTCAAGAAGTTTGCTGTCTGAAGAAGTCCAACATAATGTCATCATGGGCACTGGAACATTCAAGATCCCTCACGGCCCCACCCCAAAAAAAATAATAGTTCTAAAATTACAAGAATCACTCGATTCATTATTACATTTCTACAAAGAAAATCGAAGTCAAATGCCGACGACCACTGACATCTGGTTTGCTACAACAAAAACTGGAGAAAGATCGTCGCAAACAACAAACCAGATGAACAGTTTTTTCACCCGTGTGATGATTAAATCCAAAATGATAAATTCATGAATATGTTTCTTGTATTGCAGAGTGTACAGATTTCCGTACGCACAATGACTTATCAGCAAGGGAAGTCACGTTTTGAGCAGTGGAACCACTTACTTCTATCCCCGGACCGTGTCTGAACAACAAACCCACTTTTCTTTCCATTCCAGATTTGTCACTCCACACCTTAACCAAGTCAACTGAAAGAGCGAACTACCGGTACCTGTATTTCTCACTTCATCCCACCATCACCTTGAAAAGCCAAGCAACCGTCAAAAAAACCAGCGAGGCCCACCACAAATTTTCATTTCGGGTTGTTCGTGTTGCAGGACATCAAGGCTATTAATTCTATCTGAGCTTCATTAATCCACATTTTCCCATCCGGCCCGAGCGTCCTTAATCATCCTTTCAGCTTTTGCCAGCTTGGCCTCCAGTGGCCAAACGCAACCAGGGTCACAGCGCGTTCCCTTGGCCTCAAGGGAGCCTGTGGACACGTCCACGTGCATACCAAAACGCAGATTATTAAACAGGTCATCCATCTCAATCACTGTTGTTGCAGCCATGTCATTACAATTCTCCACTGGGTGAAGCAAAGAGTTTAAACTCTATAGACTGACTTTGTCTTGTTCGGTGCATCTGAATTTCAGGTTATTCAGATCAGTGGTTGTCAGCAAATAAGGCTTCCTGTGTGGAGTTTCCATGTTCTCACTTGTGCCTGCGTGGGTTTTCTCCGGGTACCCCGGTTTCCTCCCACATTCCAAAAACATGCATGACAGGCTGATTGAACACTAAATTGTCCCTAGGTGTGAGTGTGAGCACGGATGGTTGTTCATCTCTGTATGCCCTGCGATTGGCTGGCAACCACTTCAGGGATAGGCTGCAGCAACCCCACACTCACCCTTGTGAGGATAAAGCGGATCGGAAAATGGATGGATGGAAGTCACTTACTTACTTACTTATTTATTTTTGCGTCATTTTTCTCCTCCTGATGCTGGCCATTGCCACCTCTGCTAAAATTCCGGATATCCTCTTTTCACCATGATGCCCCTAAAATTAAATTGTGATGAAATATTCAGTTTTTTTTCATCACCAACTTATGATGAATAAAATGCTTGAGTGAGATATTTGAAATCTATTGTCTTCATTTAGAAGGTGATTCACTCATCCAATTTGTAATAAGGTTTGGGGAAGGGGGAAAAAACGATTTAGTGTTATTCTTCCTTAAGGAAATCTAGTGAATTTTTTCAGTCCCATAATCATTAAAGATTGAAGAGGGAAGAGGGTTCTTGGTGTGGACTTGTGAAAAAGTTGAGTGGAAATGATGACTTTGAGCTACCGTAACACTGAAAACGAATCACTCTCGGTATAATACTGTAGAGCAGGGGTGTCAAACTCATTTTTGTTACGGGCCACATTTTAGTTACCGTTTCCCTTAGAGGGCCGTTATGACTGAAACCAAATTTTAAAAAGGCAATAATAACGGTTTATTCAACTATTGTTTAAGTTTCTGTGATGAAGGGTTTGGTTCCAAGAAAATGCTTGCAATATGTCTATTATTTACTACATACGAGTTTTTTAAATTTTGGTCGAGATTTTAGCAAGCATCGTGGAAAGTGACATGTTTGATTTGCTTTCGGGCCACATATAAAATGATGTGGCAGGCCACATCTGGCCCCCGGGCTTTCAGTTTGACACCTGTGCTGTAGAAACATCCCATAATCAGGCATTTGTTGAATTCGACCAGAAGAGAGGAGGGGAAAAAAAAGGTCAAATTAGGCCAGATTAGACATTTGACATTTGTTCATGTTGATTGGTGGGGAATTAACGCAACATCTATTTTTTTGTTTGTTTTCTCTTTGTCCTCGTAGGAAAATACTTTTGGCGGCTCACTCGAGAGAAGCACTTGGTTTCTTTGCGTCCCGCTCAGATCCACTGGTTCTGGAGGGGCCTGCCCGCTAGTCTGGACAGCGTGGACGCCGTCTACGAGAGAACGGGCGACCATGAGACCGGGCGACCATAAAATCGTCTTTTTTAAAGGTGCACTTGCTAAACTCTTCAACACCTCCTTTGAGTGCGAGTAAAATATCAATACTTCACATCGTCATACTCCCGTACAAGAATCAATTCTCATTTTTGTGACAATGACTGTAATTATGTTATAGCTGAGTAAAATGAATCAATGCTACCAGCTACTCTGCTGAAATCTCTGTGAGGGAAGACACAAAGTAGAAGTGCACAGATCTGACTTTTCACGGGAAAATGCAAATTTCCAGACAGCGAGTTTCAAGTGTGTTACGACTTCTCTGTCGTAGCTGGCATCAAATTGTACATTGCCGTTTGCCCATGTCTTCCGGGAGCTCTCAAGAAAAATGCTCACTAGCACTGCTGAAACACTCAAATCGAAACTACTTAATAAAAGTGTGTGAACCAGTCTTTTTTTTTTTTTTTTGGCTTTGTTTATGGACCACTTTTGAAATCTCTGTGAGGGAAGACACAAAGTAGAAGTGCACAGATCTGACTTTTTCACGGGAAAATGTACATTTCCAGACAGCGAGTTTCAAGTGTGTTGCGACTTCTCTGTCGTAGCTGGCATCAAATTGTACATTGCCGTTTGCCCATGTCTTCCGGGAGCTCTAAAGAAAAATGCTCGCTAGCACTGCTGAAACACTCAAACAGAAACTACTTAATAAAAGTGTGTACACCAGTCTTTTTTTTTTTTTTGGCTTTGTTTATGGACCACTTTTGGTGTGAAACATTGGAAAATCATCTCTTGTTTTGACTGAAAGCCAGTTGGATCTGTAAAACTTGCCAAGCTAACAGTGAACACCCGCTAGTCGCGTGGGAAAGGAATTGAGCCCAACGGCAACTTGTGAATTTCCACAAATTATATTTGCTACCCTTAAAAGCAAATATCAATTGCTTCTATGAACAGGTACATTGCCGTTTGCCCATGTCTTCCGGGAGCTCTAAAGAAAAATGCTCGCTAGCACTGCTGAAACACTCAAACAGAAACTACTTAATAAAAGTGTGTACACCAGTCTTTTTTTTTTTTTTGGCTTTGTTTATGGACCACTTTTGGTGTGAAACATTGGAAAATCATCTCTTGTTTTGACTGAAAGCCAGTTGGATCTGTAAAACTTGCCAAGCTAACAGTGAACACCCGCTAGTCGCGTGGGAAAGGAATTGAGCCCAACGGCAACTGAATTTCCACAAATTATATTTGCGCCCCTTAAAAGCAAATATCAATTGCTTCTATGAACAATTACCATAAATAACAACCATAAATGTGCCACTAACTAGAGCACTCCAATGGCATTTTTGAAAGTTTATAAACGGCTTACTGATAATTGTTGTTAACTCCTTAAAAATGCACTCCATTAAACCATTTACAGCTCAGCACGCGTAAATATGAATGTGCAGTACCAAGCACGTACATGCTAACAATTCCGATGACGATTTTGACTAGCGCTACATGGCACAGCTAAGCACACAAGGTAACATCAGTTGTGCCAGTGCTCTGGGATGGTTTAGCTAGCGACAAGCGACCCGAAAAATGGTTTAACATTTCAGCAGTCACAACATCAACTGGAGGTCGGTAAATAAGTTTAGCGATAGTCCACTGAGCTGTTATTATGGTTTCCAACATTTTAGATGCTGTGTTTAGTCCTACTTTGGTGAAATTAGCATGAGCAAAAGCAGCCGCAGCCAATATGGCCACCGCCATTTTATGTATCTACTCCTTCTGCCTTTCGTCAAGGAAAGTTTAGTTCAGCGGACAGCTAGGTTTTTACGTTACATTTTTTTTTTTGTGTCAACTAAATCGGCAAAACAATGAAAAAATAACAGACAGGTGTTTAGGCAGAAATTTGCTATAAAAATACTTTTAAAAATAATTGACAATAGGCGATGAGGCAATGAGCGGAGGAGAGGTTCCGGTCGGGGTACAACCTATTTTAGATAGCACTCTCATGTTTTCTATTAGCTTAAAGCATTAGCTCAGTGCTTGTGAAAGAATTAAAGATTTGTTTCATTCTCTTTGCTTGCCCGTTCAGGACTCAAGTACTGGGTGTTTAAAGACAACGTCATGGAGGAGGGCTTCCCGCGTCCAATCAGTGACTTCGGCCTACCTTTGGAAAGCGTGGACGCGGCCTTTGTGTGGCTCCACAATGAAAAGACTTACTTCTTCAAGGACAGCCGCTACTGGCGCTACGACGACCACCTGAGACGTATGGATCTGGGCTACCCGAAGGACAGCACGCTGTGGAAGGGGCTGCCCCCTCATCTGGATGACGCCATGAGGTGGTCTGATGGTCGGTAGTCCACCAAGTGAATTTTAAGAACGCTGACCGTAAACGTGCGGGTGTTCACTTTTTCTTTGTAACGCTGATTTTTATTATTTTGAACACATTTATGCAAATGTAACATTAGCTCATACATTTCATTCTATTTTCATTCTTTTCTTTTGCAAAGGCCAATTTTTTGATACAAGTATACCAAATAGTGTGGCTGCTGAGTGCATTCGCAGTACAGAGTACATGATGCGATTGCCACAAACCGCAACTTGGGTTACTTTGTCAACTAAAAAGATAGCTCATTGACTTCTTACGTAAAAGCATGTAGTTTAACTTTTGCACGCATTTACATGGGCTATATTAAATAGTTTTGGGTTTTTTTTTTTCATTTTGAAGAACATAAATATGAACTCCAGAAATGAATGAAATTCGTCTTTCTAGATCCAATCTTTGCTGTACCATCTAAAATGTATTAAACGCTTCTCAACGTGAGCGAACATCTTCATTTCAAATGACACGTGGCCGAATAGACATTTGAAATGAAACCTTCACATTTGCTCCGAGAAAAAAAAACAAAAAACTCCAACCCTTGTGAAACTTAAAATGTTGATGTTCAGCCAACCCAGTGATTCATGTCGAGTCAAACAAAGACGTCACGTCGCATCTCGTGTGCCGACAGCACCTGCAGCAGCAGCACAAATGCTTTTCCCTCCGCGGTCACCAACTTTGATGTTTTCACTATACTCTAGCAGAGTAGAAGTCTTTGTCTTGTTAGAAACTTTAGGGAATAAACCGTGGCACTCAGCCTCCTATTGGGCTCACTCGTCCCTTAATAGCGATATCTATCTATCTATCTATCTATCTATCTATCTATCTATCTATCTATCTATCTATCTATCTATATATATATATATATATATATATATATCTGCATCCACGCCCGACCCCCTGTGTATATTTCGTAATCTGCCCATGTCGCATACGAATCCAGCCGTATCTGTAACATAAGGCGCACCGCAGGCTGGAGTAATGAGAACGAAAATGTAAACAGTTTCAACGCCGGATCAGTGATTCATGAAATTAAGCCCTTGATGATATGTGTTCTGTTTTTGTTGCGAGCGCTTTAATGAGAGCAACAGACGACTCAGCATATCTGGCATGCAAATTTTTTTGTCGTCTTTTCATTCTGTTGCGCAAGAAACAGAAACACGATCAAGTTCACATCAACATATCCCTCCCTCCGCCCTCAGTTATGGATGTTAACTTTTGAGTGAGAAAAAATTACCTCTCGCATCTACTCCTCTCTCCCCGCGCAGGTTCGTCTTACTTCTTCAAGGGGAAGGAGTACTGGCGCGTGCCGAACAGCGACATGGAGGTGGAGGCGGACTACCCACGCCTCATCGCCAAGGACTGGCTGCTGTGCACAGACATGCAGTCGGACTCACCGGGCGCAGAGGCCAAGAGCACCGAGAGCCGGGTCAACGTACACCCTCGCCCGGATCACGCTGAGAACGGCTACGAGGTCTGCTCCTGTACCTCGGACGGCGCCTCGTCTTTCGGGGCCCGGCCCTCCCCGTCACCCTTGTGGCTGCTGCCGCCTCTTTGGACCCTCTCGCTGGCCCTCTGCCCTCTAATGCTATGATGCCAAATAAGACCAAATCAGACTTTGGTTGTTATTTATTGCTCAATCCTTAGAGCAACTTCTTGACATTTGGGGCATTTGAATGAAGAAGCGCAACGATCACTTTAGCTTCATATATTTGCTCCCCAACATAAAATGTTCTTTTATTGCATCCAGGAAGGAAGGAAAGACATGAGAGCTTTCTTGGATGTATTGAGACTGAGCTTCGACAGTGACTTACATTCAAATGAGTTTTGAAGTCCTTTGAGGGAACGTGTCGTTTTAATTTAAAGTACATATGAAGTACTGTATAGCGATGGCGTTGAGTAGTCGCCGTTGAGTTGTCATGGAACTTCAAGAGCGAAGAACAACACCGGTTGGTGTTGCCTTTTGTGTTACCTGTGTCAACAATTTTGTGATTTTTTTTTTTTTTTTTTTTAATGTTCATATGAAAAGACAATAACTGATTCGCAGCACATGAAAACGCTCATCATATTTTTTGCATACAGTGGAACAGTTTTAAGATTGAGCACAGTCCAACTTATTTTTAGTTGGGACTGCAATCCGTTTTAGAATGCTTGTAGCAGAGTTCCAAAAATGTTCACTGCCTCGACTGGTCACCAGGCAATCACACATTTCTGCGAAAATTTTATTATTATTTTTTTTTTAAATGTGTGTTAAAATAGTAATAATCACATTTAATCATAAAAGTTAAAAACCAAACACTTTACCTTAATTAACTCATTCACTCCCAAAGACGTTTTTAAACGTCGTTTCAGACTTGGTCTAGAATTGGCTGGTACTGAATAAGTAAGGAGGAGATTGCCGTCAAAAGAAAACCACACTTATTGTCATATTTGCTTAAAACGGTCATTATGACTTGACAGTAATGCGCAGTAAAGAGGATATTTTGCCTCTAATTTGTTGAACAACAAACCACTACACCTGAGGAAAAAACAACCAATCAGAAGATGGACGACGCGACATCTCGGAAAATTGCAAACCCCTGTTTTAACTTGATGTGGATGGTGACGCTAGTCTCTTACTGCTTTGAGTTTTATGCTACTTCTGCTGTAAATTCTCACCACGTGAATCTCGTCGCGGCCGCTTCCTTCTTGTAGGACGGAGCCGAAGATAAAAGCAATTCAAGCGAATCCTTCCACGCTTGAAGTCCTGTGCATTAAATTCAAATCCGATGACATTTAGATATTCTACTGTGGACTTGCATTTCATGTGACGGTGTCGATATGCTAATTCGGGTGCATTGACACCCACCCAAAAAAAAAAAAAAAAAAACTATTAGTGGAATGAGGATTATTATTTTCATCTAAAAAAAATAATACAGTGAGCCAGTGTGAAATCAAATCATGCAATGCTGAATGAATGGACGGTCTGGGTCAACAAGAGCAAAGGATTGTTTTTCTATTGCATTTCGTATGAGTGAGAGAACTCAATCCACAGTAGCAATGTGTGCCAGGAGAACATCTGCCTTCTGCTTTTTGCAGCCGGCCGCCAACTTCCAAATGGTGGCGAAGGGAAAAGCGCTGTCGCTAACGGATCCCTTGCTAAAAGCCCCTCAACTTCTCCCCTGTTTGGTATTTCCAGCCGTTGATCATTTCCACATCTGCTTCAGCTTTTTTTTTTTTTTGGGGGGGGTGATTATTCCCATCCGCCGAGGTGACAGCACTGCGCCTGTAAAGTTCTATTTCTCTATTAGACTGATATACAGTACCGTATATGACTTGAAGACTTGACAAAAAAAAAAAAAATCAAGTGTATATTTTAAGTTGCATTTTGTAATGTAAAATATTTTTGTAGAAAAAAAGTAAAATGTACGTGAACGACTTTGGTCGACTGAGACGATTTTTTTTTCTCCGTGAAGGCACATTAGCAATGGTGTGGCATCTTGTGGACGCCAACTGGTGGCGGTGGAGGGGGGGGGGGGTAGTTCTTCTCTGTCACAGTCTGTGCTGTGTGTCTTCATCTTGGATGCAGATCTTGTCAATCAGCGCGCGCACGCACACACACACACACACACACACACACACACAGAAGAGGCTTTAGTAGCAGACTTGCTGGCAGAGGATCACACGCAAGTGTATCAGAGTGTTTCTTAAGGGAAACAAATCAGACGCTGTCACTGTCACACATCTGAGTTCAGTCGCTCTTGTTTCTCTTTAACAAAGTTTACACACACACACACACACACATTGTGCTGGATGCGTTTGCAGAAGTGTAGTCAGAGTAATGTAATCATGAGTCATGTTAAATAGTTCATGTCTCTTCTTTCAGGTTATTTGTCCTGTTGTCGTTTCTTGGATGACAACCAGATACTGACCAGCTCTGGAGACACCACCTGGTGAGTGTGCATTTACTTTTTTTACTCAGCCATTGTAATGCATTGTTGGTGGTCCCGTTAACTGCTCTTTGCCATTGTTATCGAGTTATTCGGTGAAATGCCTCGGCGTTGGACACATTCAGGCAAACAATATTTCAGTGGCCAAAAGAAAAGAATAACTTATTCATGAGTTTACGGCAAGGTGACTGACTTGTGCTCGATATACGTAAAAGGGGGACTTTTTTTCTTAAAATCAAATGACACCAAAATCATCATTCACATGCG